GTCTACAGCGTGGCGTCTACAGCGAGGCGTCTACAGCGTGGCCTCTACAGCGTGGCCTCTACAGCGTGGCGTCTACAGCGTGGCGTCTACAGCGTGGCCTCTACAGCGTGGCCTCTACAGCGTGGCGTCTACAGCGTGGCCTCTACAGCGTGGCCTCTACAGCGTGGCGTCTACAGCGTGGCGTCTACAGCGTGGCCTCTACAGCGTGGCGTCTACAGCGTGGCGTCTACAGCGTGGCCTCTACAGCGTGGCCTCTACAGCGTGGCCTCTACAGCGTGGCGTCTACAGCGTGGCCTCTACAGCGTGGCGTCTACAGCGTGGCGTCTACAGCGTGGCGTCTACAGCGTGGCGTCTACAGCGTGGCGTCTACAGCGTGGCCTCTACAGCGTGGCGTCTACAGCGTGGCGTCTACAGCGTGGCCTCTACAGCGTGGCCTCTACAGCGTGGCCTCTACAGCGTGGCCTCTACAGCGTGGCCTCTACAGCGTGGCCTCTACAGCGTGGCGTCTACAGCGTGGCGTCTACAGCGTGGCGTCTACAGCGTGGCTTCTACAGCGTGGGCCTCTACAGCGTGGCGTCTACAGCGTGGCGTCTACAGCGTGGCGTCTACAGCGTGGCCTCTACAGCGTGGCGTCTACAGCGTGGCCTCTACAGCGTGGCGTCTACAGCGTGGGCGTCTACAGCGTGGCCGTCTACAGCGTGGCGTCTACAGCGTGGCCTGTCTACAGCGCTGGCGTCTACAGCGTGGCGTCTACAGCGTGGCGTCTACAGCGTGGCTCTACAGCGTGGCGTCTACAGCGTGGCGTCTACAGCGTGGCCGTCTACAGCGTGGCGTCTACAGCGTGGCGTCTACAGCGTGGCCGTCTACAAGCGTGGCCTCTACAGCGTGGCGTCTACAGCGTGGCGTCTACAGCGTGGCGTCTACACGTGGCGTCCTACAGCGTAGGCGTCTACAGCGTGGCCTCTACAAGCGTGGCCTCTACAGCGTGGCCGTCTAACAGCGTGGCGTCTACAGCGTGGCCTCTACAGCGTGGCCTCTACAGCGTGGCCTCTACAGCGTGGCGTCTACAGCGTGGCCTCTACAGCGTGGCCTCTACAGCGTGGCGTCTACAGCGTGGCCTCTACAGCGTGGCCTCTACAGCGTGGCGTCTACAGCGTGGCCTCTACAGCGTGGCCTCTACAGCGTGGCGTCTACAGCGTGGCGTCTACAGCGTGGCGTCTACAGCGTGGCCTCTACAGCGTGGCCTGAAGCGTGAAGCTGCGTGAAGCTGCTGGGACTCCCAGCAGCTTCTACTGAAGCCTTCAGAGTAAATCACCAGAACGCCGACACCTCATCTCCACCGCTCCCATGTTTTCTTTTGTGTTGCCATAAGTTAGTGTCTCTGCGTTTGTGCGCTGGGCGAATGCTAATGCTAATAATGCTAATGCCAGCAAATACAATGGCGGCTCTACAAAACTTTCAGAGTTTTACAGGGTGTGGTTAGCAATTCGCCCAGCCAATCAGAAATTGGTACTTTTTTCTCCCAGGAAAGTACCATCTCTCAGCGAGCACTAAAAATGGGGGTAAAAGTTCTCGGCACTAAGTTCTCTTTTTGGCGTGAATGCAAAATAAGACGTACTAACGGAACTAAACGGGAAAAGTACGGGGAAAAGTACTCCGGTGTGAACGCGCCTAATAAGGACAGCTTGTCTCTACGATTCGCTGGCCCAGGAAGTTGATTCGACCCTTTGCGCAGGCCGCCTGCGTCCTGTGCTTCATTGTCTTCGTACCCGCTGTACCCGCTCTCCAGGTGTCAAAAACCACAAGCGCCTTTTCAGAATGGGAGCTGGAACTTTTACGCTTTTATTGCACCATCTAGAATGTTTAGTGTGCATAGCTCAAACGTTCAGGATGTTCTGTCTAGTTTCACATGAAAAGACATTATGGAAACCTGTGTGTGTGTGTGTGTGTGTGTGTGTGTGTGTGTGATCCATACATTAATGAGGATCTGCAGAAGTGATGTTTCTCACACAAACAAACCTGAGGAGAAGACAAGAAATGCATGTGAAATAACCTGAAGGGTTGTTTCTGTGTGTCTACAGTGTGTGTGTGTGTGTGTGTGTGTGTCTACAGTGTGTGTGTGTAGCAGTTTCTCTCTCCAGGGAAATCTGCCGGCCTCTGCAGCATCGACGACACACCCTGCAGAGAATATATCAATAAATAAAAACACACATACATATATATATACGTGTATATATATATGTATATATATATATATATATATACACACACAGGCCTGTGTGTGGTCCTCAGGAGGAGCTGCAGCTCAGTGATTCATGACACCAAATATGTGTAATTATGTAGAAACTGAGTCCAGGTCTCAGTCGACAGCGAGTGGAGGTACCGTGTGTGTGTGTGTGTGTGTGTGTGTGTCTACAGTGTGTGTGTGTGTGTGCAGCCTCTACTTTAAGATGTACACACAGAGACACAGAGACAGGCGTTGTAGTGAAACCGTGTTTCTTTATTCACACCATTTTCTACTCCAGCTATGTTAGAAGTTAACATACGTGTCAATCCTCTATTCCTATGACCTCTCATCCGTCTGTACACACTATATAAAAAGGTTATAATATGTTTAGAAACTGGAGGGTGGAGGATCAACATGTCTCCTTCTCCTCCACCCTCTGGTATTTTTTCATGAAACAAAAGACATGTTGAAGGCGTTATCCCCGCGGCCTGCAGGCATTAAAGCGTGACACACACCTGCTAACAACACGACACAATACACTCCAGAGTTTAAGCATTTCATAGAAACAAAAGAGAAGAAGATATTTACAGTGAGGTAAAACACATTGGTCTTTAAGAGGAGGTATTTGTGACCTTTTTAATATGTTAATTATGCTCTTTAGTTTCTCAGGACGACGTCTAGAAGCAGACATCGAAGCAGACAACCATGCAGAGAGGCACCAGATAACCATGAGAAAGCTTTGATGCTACGCTGCAGCTGACCCCACTTCCTGTGTGTCACCTGATGGAGGCCCACTTCCTGTGTGTCACCTGATGGAGGGCCCCCTGCTGGGCGGAGGCTGCCCCCCCCTCACAGTGTGTGGATCTGCTCGCATAGATAGGTGTGTTCGATGCAGCTTTGCATAACGAGAGTACATTCACAGCTGAGTGAGGATAATATTCTGCTGCTGGCATAGATAGATAAACCCTCCACATTCAGGCCCTCCATCTCAACCCAAAGAGTACTTTAATAACTCGTTAACTCCATCTAAGGATTCAAACCCAGGAGAACGAGTCAGACGAGGATCAGATGTAGAGAACGTCACATCGTCTGCATGCAGGGGCACCAGAGCACACTTTGCACCATCTCCCCTGATCCTCCTCCACTCGGTCAGAGGATCCTCCTCCACTCGGTCAGAGGATCCTCCTCCACTCGGTCAGAGGATCCTCCTCCACTCGGTCAGAGGATCCTCCTCCACTCGGTCAGAGGATCCTCCTCCACTCGGTCAGAGGATCCTCCTCCACTCGGTCAGAGGATCCTCCTCCACTCGGTCAGAGGATCCTCCTCCACTCGGTCAGAGGATCCTCCTCCACTCGGTCAGAGCATCATTTGAGAGAGAACTAGCCATGGCTCACACTCGTTGATGCAGAGTGTGCCAAAGACCAGGACTGCAAAGTGTGCTCTGTTCCCCTCTCTGTTCCATCCTCAGAAAGTTTCAGGTGCTTTTTCTTTATCACCTGCTCCAGGTGAGCGGGTGTTAGTGTTTTTGAGGCCGGCTGCAGCGCTGTAGCTCGGAGAAACATCTGCTAACGTGGAATGAGCGGAGAGAGAAAAGAAGGCGAGGATCTGTACAGAAAGTCATCCCGTTAGAAAGAAAGAAGGCTGCTGGTGACTTTAAGACAGATGGAGGTCTCGTACCCGAGGTGAGCTTTTGTTGTTGCTGATGTCCCAGAGAATGACTTGATATGGATCTTTAACACATGAAGGTCCAGTTTGGCCACTTTAGTACACATTAAACATGAAATCAGCAGAGACCCTTTTGTATTCAATATAGCAGCGAAATCCACTTCTTCCAGATGTTTAGTCCTGACCTTCTGCTGACCTTCTGCTTATGACCAGCGTCTGCCGAGGAGCCACAGAAACATCTCCTGATGGCGGGTTTGTGACTTTACACATTTTGTACACTTTGAGAAGCTGCAGGGTCCACGTGATGCCCTTCTTTAGAAATACACCTCTTCCTAACAGACGGAGAGGGAACACATGTCCACATGTACGAGTGGAGACGGTAAGGTTGGTAATATTACTGCAGGGAGAAGGAAACTTCAGGACTCCTCGTTGGATTTATAAAAATAGGTCTCAAGTGGAAAGAAACGAGGCGAGCATTTATTTGTTGCCGCTGTTGTGGTTTCTCCTTCAGTAAATGAGAACCTGTCCTAGTTATTTAATAGGCGCGTTCACACCAAGTACTTTGCCGTACTTAGTGCCGGCACTTATGACCCCAGGGCACTCAGTACAGATCGCGTTCACACCGGAATAAATTCCCTGAGGAAAGATTACGCAAGTGACGTCACTTCTTCTTCTTCTGCTGCTTTGGGTTTACTGGCAGGCCCCAAACCACTTCACGGCGTATACTGCCACCCGGAGTCCCCGGCCGGAAGTCCCCGGAGTTGGGGAAGGCTTCAGTAGAAGCTGCTGGGACTCCCAGCAGCTTCTACTGAAGCCTTCAGAGGAAATCGCCAGAACGCCGACACCTCCTCATCTCCACCGCTCCCATGTTTTCTTCTGTGTTGCCATAAGTTAGTCTCTCTGCGTTTGTGCGCTGGGCTAATGCTAATGCTAATAATGCTAATGTGGATAAGGATAATAAAATTAAAATAATAAAATTAAAATAATAAAATGGCGGCTCTACAAAACATTTCAGAGTTGTACGGGGCGTGGTTTGCAATTCGCCCAGCCAATCAGAACTGGGGCACTTTTTCCCCCAGGAGAGTACCACCTCTCAGCAGGCACTACACATGGGGGTAAAAGTTCCAGGCACTAAGTATTCTTTTTGGTGTGAACGCGACATAAGGGGTACTAACGGAACTAAACGTGAAAAGTACGGGGGAAAGTACTCCGGTGTGAGCGCGGCTAATGACTGCAGGGAAGATGTAGGACATCTGGGTTCATCTGGGTACATCTGGGTAAATGAAATGAGATCGGAACAAATAGTTAAATGTCCTAAATGGAGCATGTGTCCGTCTGCAGGTAGCTGTCTTAGCTTCACGTCACTTTGGACGAATACAATACGTTGGAAGTGGATGAACTAATCTAAATGTTGCAGGAGCCGGGATGATCCGCTCGCTGCAGATTAGGTCCAGTTTATTTAGAAAAGCTGAAGTTGAGTTGTCGTCTGGTTAGGAGGAGGTGTAAGAAGAGGAGCATCAGCTGAGAGCTAGTTCAGACCCTCCTGCAGCACTTCACCCTCTAAAGGGTTTGATATCTCCGACTCACACTCTTCTGAAAGGTGTGTGTCGCATGGCACAGAGATCAGATTCAGGCGATCTGAAGGTATTTACATCCAACACGTAGCAGCACAACAACACTATGCATCATAAAGAAAAGAGGCGACAGACTGCAGGTTCAGAAGTGCACTTATTGCTGAACTCTAATATCTGATCAATACGATGAAGAGCAGCAGTCTGTCCAACACTTGAAACTAAATCAGGTGCTACATCATTTTTTTTTGTCCTTTAGATAGAATAATGACACTACCTTTATCATAGTAATTATATATATATATAGATATCTTTTTTCATAAAAAACAACAGAAATGATAAGAGCTGTCTCTCATGTGTTGGTCCCTTAAGGCTCGGCTGAAACGTCCTTTTGAAATCTGGTGGTTTTTACATTCTAGTAGAAAAAGACCTCGCCACGAAAAAAACAATAAAACAATAAAACAATAAACAACTGGAAAATCTATGGCTTAGTAAATCTCCGTTTGCTATATTTAGATGGATGTCGTCTCAGAGAAGAACCAAACACTGAAATGTCCCGTTTGTGGAGAGGCGGAGTTGGATTTATGGCACCAGAGTGGGCGGGGGGGGTGCATAGTCCACGTGCGCAGATCAGTGTGCACGTGAGGGTGTGTGTTGAAGTCCACGTGCGCAGATCAGCGTGCACGTGAGGTTGTGTGTTGAAGTCCACGTGCGCAGATCAGCGTGCACGTGAGGTTGTGTGTTGAAGTCCACGTGCGCAGATCAGCGTGCACGTGAGGTTGTGTGTTGAAGTCCACGTGCGCAGATCAGCGTGCACGTGAGGGTGTATTAAAGCACGGTGTAAGGCATGGCGGCAGCTGAGAGCACAGTCTCTGTTTCTGAAGGTTTTGCATATGTTGCAGCATGTTGCCCAGAATGAATGAGGTCATCGCGTCCACTTTCTGTCGCTAAGTAAGAAAAGAAAACCTTAAAAAATGACTCAATAAATTAAACTGAGCTGTCCGCCTCCCTGCGTGTGAAATAAAAAGTTAAAAAAATATGTTGATGTTGGTGGTGAGGAAACCTGCAGCTCACTGTGCTACTGACACTCAGAGCAGGGCTGCAAACTGATGCTAACTGCTGCTAACAGATGCTAACGGCTGCAAACTGATGCTAACTGCTGCTAACAGATGCTAACGGCTGCAAACTGATGCTAACAGATGCTAACGGCTGCAAACTGATGCTAACAGATGCTAACTGCTGCAAAGTAATGCTAACTGCTCCTAACAACTTACGGCTGCTAACAGATGCTAACTGCCGCTAACTGTTGCAAACTGATGCTAACTGCTAATTGCTGCTAACGGCTAACTGCTGCAAAGTAATGCTAACTGTAAACTGTAGCTAACTGCTGCTTTTAGACGCTAACAGCTGCTAACAGATGCTAACAGATGCTAACTGTAGACTATCTGTGTCATCTTAAACTCTTTAAACAACAGGGGCTTGTTTTAGTGTTATCCCTGCATTAATATCATTTTTCAAACTGATGTTTTTGTCTTCACAAATACTGCTATTTTGCACCAAAAAATAAACGTAACATGGTATTTTTTTTTGACCTTTTGCACCATTACAACCAATTACAGTATGTTGTGCTTATTTATATAAAACAACAATATAAACGCTTTGTCATCAAGACGAAGACGGGACACTTTGACAGGAAGCGGATACCAGATCCACTGCGTCACAATAAAAGCCTTCCCCCCCACCGGGTCCGTCTGCGCCGCGTCACGGCTGCGCCGCAGTTTTGTTCCAACCTCCTCCGGCGTCATACCCTACCAGGCGCGTTTCAGAAGCGTTTCAGAAGCGGAGCGTCTTGCCTGCCGGCTCGCAGTTTTAGTTGATTTGGGCATATTTCCTGGACAGGCTACTTTGTACAGACAAAGTTAATAATAACTAATATTCCAGTTATAAACGACATGAATCAAAAATGTGTTGCTGTATTTTAGTGGTAATCCATTCATCATCATCATTATTCTATATATATAATGTACACAGTGCCTGTAAACCGGAGGAGAACGCTGGCATTTCTCCTCCTACTTGAAAGACTACGGAGGGATAGGGTCTGCACAATGAGTTTACTTTGGGGATTGACTGGATGCTCTGACCGGTCCACTTCCTGCCCGGCGCTATGCAACGCCTCGCGTCGCGTCAAAAATAGACCAGCCGCCTATTTTTAGCGGAGCCCAGCGCCGACACGCTTCTGGGACGCTTCTAGCCGGTGGAATAGCACCCATTGACTAGAGTGGCTGCGATCGCGGTGAACGCCGCGGCGCAGACGTAACGCGGCGCAGACGGACCCGGTGGAATCTAGGGGTCAGACATATAATATTCTCAGGCGAGGGTTATACATTTACATTTAATCCTCACCCTTTCGGTGTGTAACAGCTAATGGCTTTAGAATAGAAACATAAATCTCCTGCACAAAGCATGTTGAACTAAATGTGCATTTAGTGAAATGTAAAGTATTAATTTGAAATAACTAGAACTTGTTAAATTGAAATGAGGACCTGATAATTATCCTAGAACACTTTATAGGTACATCCAGTAAACTGCATCAGTATTCACTTTTAGATTCAGATATGAACCCCTGATATATTCAGATCCCTGACAGATGGACAGCTTGCAGCCCTGCTGAAGAGGAGGAGACCCTGACCTCCTGCTGAAGAGGAGGAGACCCTGACCTCCTGCTGTGTGATGAGGGACCTTCATGTGCAGAACGAACACACACACACACACACACACACCACACACACACACACACACACACACACACACACACACACACACACACACACACACACACACACACACACACACACACACACACACACACACACACACACACACACACACACACACACACACACACACACACACACACACACACACACACACACACACACACACACACACACACACACCACACACACACACACACACACACACACACACACACACACACACACCACACACACACACACACCACACACACAGCTTCATCAGTGAGTGTGATGAGAATAGAAAAGCAGAGGAGGGTACTAATGCTAATGATATGGATGCCTGTGTGTGTCTACATCTTGATGCCTTCTGATTGGCTGAGCTGAGAGAGGGTCTTCTTGATGCGCAGGGCCGTTAGCCTCGCGGCGCTGTTAGCGTACCAACACTCCCTCATGATCTTCGCCATCACCCTCAGCGCCTGAGAGGAAAGAGTTCATAAAGATTATATTATATAGAGATTCAAGGCTTTCATTGCTCAGCAGCTACTGTGGAGGTACATGGACACCTGCAACACAATACAACAGATAGAATAGTGCAAGTAAATACAAATAGAACAGAGATAGTGCAAGAGGCGGCTATATACAAGTGATTGGAATATGATATAAATATATATAGATATATTAGATAGATAAATTCTAAGTAGCAGCCAGATGGATGTTCTTTCAACAGTTCAGGTGTTTAACAGTCTAAAGGCCTGTGGGATGAAGCTGAGTCTGGTGGTTTTAGTCCTGATATATAGATTATATACGTATAAAACCAGTCTGGAAACACAACGGCCAACACGTCCTCTCTCTATATATACTCATGGGTTCATCACAGCTGGAGCTAACCCTGAAACAGTTCATATAAATCCATCATTGTCCAGTAACTCTCACTCCATCATTCCCTACATTTAATATCAGATGTTCTGGGAACAAGTGACGTTTCTGTAGAAAACTCTCGCCTCATTTCCAGGGAAATCATGTGTAAACAGGAGAGAGCCTTCAACCTTCCAAAATGTTCCCACACCACGCCGCTCCTCCGCTCCCTTCACTGGCTTCCAGTAACTGCTAGAATCCACTTCAAGACACTGGTACTTGCGTACCATGCTGTGAATGGATCTGGCCCTTCCTACATCCAGGACATGGTTAAACTGTACACCCCAGCACGTGCACTCCGCTCTGCATCGGCCAAACGGCTCGCTGCACCCGCACTGCGAGGGGGACCCAAGTTCCCATCAGCAGAAACACGTGGGTTTGATATCCTGGCTCCAACATGGTGGAATGAGCTCCCCATTGACATCAGGACAGCAGAAAGCTCTGAGGTTCATAACCCACTGTAACCCCCTCACACACCACTGCACACTGTCTACCATGGGGCTCTGAGGTTCATAACCCACTGTAACCCCCTCACACCCCACTGCACGCTGTCTACCATGGGGCTCTGAGGTTCATAACCCACTGTAACCCCCTCACACACCATTGCACGCTGTACTCTTTAGTCAACTGGACATCATTATCAATGCGCAGATCACTGCACTGGTACAAACTCATCTATACCGCTATGCTTGGACTGCTGCCCCTCTACATATCCACTCACATATCACACACACAGTACAGCTATAGCCTACCATCTCAACATGACATCACTCTGTCCGTCCCCTCAGTTCGCACGGTGCTTGGGAAAAAAAGCCATATCATACTCTGCCCCCTCGACCTGGAACACACTTCAGCAGGAACTCAAGCTGACCAGTTTGATACCCATCACGGATTTTAAACTCATGTTAAAAAAGCTGGAGAAATCATCTGTGGGTGTTTGCACCTGCTTTACCTGCTGTGTGGATTTCAGTGACTGCTTTGTTACGATGTTGTATTTTAGGGTTGCCTCTGTGTTTAGTGTCCTGTCTGTAACTTTGTGTGGTAGTGTTACCACTGACAGGTCTCTCTTGGAAATGAGACCTTGTGTCTCAATGAGATTTTACACCTGTATAAATAAAGGCTAAATAAATTTAAAAAAAAGCTCACACATCTTCCAGAGCAGACTGAAGACTCATCTCTTTCCACTCCACTTCGAGCGATAGAATCACTAACAAAGCACTTATATACTAACAAAGGACAGGCTTATCTAAAGCTAGGTGAGTAGCACTTAAAATGTTTTGGCTCTATGAAACCTGATGTTCTTATATGATTCTGTTTTCTTCAAGTTTGTATCTTCTTGGTCGAATGCACTTATTGTAAGTCTCTTTGGAGAAAAGCCTCAGCTAAATGTAATGTAGAGTCTGCAGTGTGTGTGCGTGTGCGTGTGCGTGTGCGTGTGCGTGTGCGCGTGCGCGTGCGCGTGTGTGTGTGTGTGTGTCATGTCTGTGTCTCTGTCTGACTTCTCACACCGTCATCACAGCAGCAGAGCCTCCCCTCTAAATGCTTTCAGACACATCATTTCCTCTAACTCTGATTCAAACTGAAATAACCCTCTGATTTAAAACCATCACAGATTAAAACCTCTGCAACACTTATGGGAGGGGCTGCAATGGTTTGTAATCACTGTAGACCCTGAAGAGGCTCATTGGATCGGAGGAATTCACATTTAATCTGTGAGCAGAGTGTAAGTCATATTTAGCAACACTCAGGATGCAAAATGCTGAATAAAAGGAGCGTGTCTCATCATTACTGTTTCACTAATCTGTGTTCTCCTTTCTCCTGTGTGTCTCTGGTGTGAAGCATGGGTTATATTAAAAACACCGTGTTTTATCGGGGGTTTCATTAAACAAAGTGAAAGGATCTGCTTCACAGAATCAAATTGAATAAAATGTTAACGACTCCCTGGACTGCACACAGTGAGAGAGAGAGAGTGTGCAATGCCGTCAAAGTGAAACCTGAAACTGCATTGCACACACTCTCTGAGTGTTTGCTTCCTCTCCGGGGACGTGTGTGTGTCTGTGTGTGTGTGTGTGTGTGTGTGTGTGTGTGTGGTGCGTGCGTGCGTGCGTGCGTGCGTGCGTGCGTGCGTGCGTGCGTGCGTGCGTGCGTGCGTGCGTGTGTGTGTGTACCTCGCAGCTCTGCCAGCGGTTGGGGATGTTGGGTCTGAGTTTCTGCTCACACACCACCTTCCTCATCTCCTCAACAGACGGGTCCGACTGCACCAGGTCGTAGTACGGCAGCTGGTAGTCCTCGTGAATGCCTGGAGAGAGGAAATAATACACGTTAGATACTGTGTGTGTGTGTGTGTGTGTGTGTGTGTGTGTGTCATCAAAAAGGAGGATCTGCAGAGGTAGCATCGTGCAGAAATGTGCAAAATATACAGAAAGAGCAACAGCAAGTATGTGGCTGCTAACAATGTGTGTGTGTGTGTGTGTGTGTGTGTGTGTGTGTGTGTGTGTGTGTGTGTGTGTGTGTGTGTGTGTGTGTGTGTGTGAGAGAGAGAGACTCTTACCCCCCATGGAGCAGCGGCTGGCGATCTCCCAGAACACCAGCCCCATGGCGTAGATATCGGCTCGCTTAAAGGACTCGAAGTGTTTCATGTTTATAGAATCGTCCAAAACCTCCGGAGCCATGTACCTGAGGGGGGGGGGGGGGACATGGAGATATTATATATATATATAATATAGAGAGGAATCAGAGATGAAATATGGCGCGTTTCCACTACAGCGCGGAGCACCGTTTAAGAGGGCTGTGACGTCAGCGGCCCGTCTTTGGTTGCGTTTCCACTTGGCCTAGTACCGGCCGGCGGGTCCTAATTCACAGTTTTTCTGGCCTCATAAAATCGTGGGTCTAGGGCCAGAGACAACGAGGCTGAGTCGGGCTGAGTATGCTAAACTAGAGAGAGCATCGCTGGCAAGGGGGCTACAACTACAACAAGATGGACATATTTGACCGTGATTTAATTGTAATACACGTTTCAAAATGATGAAGTAACAACATACTGATACCGGTTAGTAAAAACCATGAATTAATGCTTTGACAAGTCTGCAGACAGACGGCAGGGGAAACACCTTTTAAAATGCGTGTTTTCTAAATGGAGATTGGCTAAGCTAACGCAGTATATGCTCCGACCGTCCACACTCACAACAACGGCCTATACAGACATAAATAAAGCAGCGACTGTATTCACCATGACACAGGCAGTCTGTGGCTTGTACTTGTTTAACTTGTGTCTAGTTTCTGAACAGATATGAGGAGCTGTGAGCTCTGAGTGCTAACAGCTAACGGCTGTGTTGGTTTTGTGGGGTTCTCATTGAAGATGACGTCACGGCTCCGCCTACACTGTGTTACTATAGTTACTACCCCAGTTCCTAAACTGTAATGGAAATGCGCCATAAAGTGAGCCAGTCCTAACGAGGCCTAGCCATACCGAGCGAGGCCGTGAGAGGCCGTGTAGTGGAAACGCGCCAATAGAGAGGAATCAGAGAGGAATCAGAGATGAAATCAAGGCCTCTGCTGAAAGGGGTTTGTTGTTGAACCTAGAGAAGGATTGTTAAAGAAAGAGAGAACTGAAATCACAGAGCTCTTCTCTTTTGTGCGAGCCTCTCATTCAGAGGAAGGGATCCTTTCTGTTGAAGTTTGAATGAAAGCAGATAAAGAACACATGTATTGGTGAGGTCTCTCTTCAGGAGTCACGCACTCATAGCTTCAGTGAAAGCAGAACTACAGCAGCTCACGAGGGACATTTAATAAAGTCATTTCCCTTTTCCAAAAATCTCAACAGAAAGTTTGGCCAGACTAAAACATTTCTAATGTTAAATAAATGAAAACCATTCACAGTTAAGAGTTAGATATTGAATTGAATATTAATGCCATAAATGAATGCATATATTTACAGTTTCTTATTCTTCCAGTGTGATATCTGTCAAACTATCCATGTCTCACTTATTCTAAGAATGTTCTTAACCCACTAATAGGATTTACGTAGTAATAACAATAACTCATCTTTCTCAGATTAATGTAGTCGTTTTTTTTTTTCGTCTTTGCGAAACACCGCTGTGTCAAATGTCCCACTTGGGTTGCTGTACGTAGCGGTCCAATATAGAGGACCAACTCGCGCTTGCACGGTGCAAATCAGGTAGTCACAACGCTAGCCTCTAAAGAGGAACAGAGGAGATAGAAACACAGGAGATAGAAGATATTGCAGACCCACCTCTTGGTCCCCACCCGGTGGTTGGGTGCGATGTCGATGGTGTCGGTGGCCGAGTCGTGTCTCACAGCGAGGCCGAGGTCAGCGATGCAACACGTCCCGTTCTTCTTCACCAGGATGTTCTTAGACTTCAGGTCTCTGTGGGCGATGGCCGGCTTCCCTGAAGACCAAGGACACGTTTAGGAACATCTGGGCACGACTATTAATATGTGAGCGGGACGTCAGGAGGATATACAGAAAGAGCACGAGCATCAGCAAGTCTGCGGCTGCTAACGATCCCCACAGTTCCCATTCCTTATACGTGTGTGTGTGTGTGTGTGTGTGTGTGTGTGTGTGTGTGTGTGTGTGTGTGTGTGTGTGTGTCTCACCTTGCGTCCCCACGATCTCCATGTGCAGGTGAGCCAGTCCGCTGGCGGTGGACAGAGACAGTTTGATCATCCCCTCCACGGTGACGGTGTAACGGTTCAGATAGTCGAACAGAGAGCCGTGCTCGTGGTAATCTGACACCAACCAGAGCTGGGTCCACGTGCCGTTATCTGCACAGGAGAAGGGACTTTAATGTGTGTTTCTTTACTTTAAGTAATATAGCTACTGTGTATGGCTTTTGTGCATATTATCATTTATTATGGTCTGAAAGGACTGGAGAAAACACAGCAACCCACAACGGGCTTTGATGCATTTAGGTTCCTCTAATCTCTATATCACACACACACAGGTAGCTCTGCTATACATCCATTAAACCTGCAGGAGCACACTGTACTGAGCTGTGTGTGTGTGTGTGTGTGTGTGTGTGTGTGTGTGTGTGTGTGTGTGTGTGTGTGTGTGTGTGTGTGTGTGTGTGTGTGTGTGTGTGTGTGTGTGTGTGAAGCTGTGTGTGTGTGTGTGTGAAGCTGTGTGTGTGTGTGTGTGAAGCTGTGTGTGTGTGTGTGTGTGTGTGTGTGTGTGTGTGTGTGTGTGTGTGTGTGTGTGTGAAGCTGTGTGTGTGTGTGTGTGAAGCTGTGTGTGTGTGTGTGTGTGTGTGAAGCTGTGTGTGTGTGTGTGTGTGCATGCGTGTGTGTGTGTGTGTGCGCCCTCCACAGTGAACTCTTCCCCCCCTCACAGTCTGCAGTCTGTGTTTTAATCCCTGATGTTAACGAGTTTAAATGACCCCTCCTTCCTGTCTGTATTATATTAATGATTATAACTTTAATTGTATTAATCTTTAATCTTGTGTGAATTATTTATCTGCTGTATCATTCCATGCACTATTTCTATTCTCTTGCATTTGATCTGTTTCACTTGTTCTATGTCCTCCATGCTGCTCTGCTGGAGGACTTCAGATGTCCACGTCTCCACTGAAGCTGCTGAGATGGAGACTTGAATCTGACCTCCTTCCCCTCACGTCTACAGTCTGAGGCTCTGCATGTGAACCCTGAGTTTCATCCAGACTCTTTATTCCGGAGGTCTCCTCTCACCTTCCTCGTCTCCTCTCACCTTCCTCGTCTCCTCTCACCTTCCTCGTCTCCTCTCACCTTCCTCGTCTCCTCTCACCTTCCTCCTCTCCTCTCCTCTCCTCTCACCTTCCTCCTCTCCTCTCACCTTCCTCCTCTCCTCTCACCTTCCTCCTCTCCTCTCCTCTCCTCTCCTCTCACCTTCCTCCTCTCCTCTCACCTTCCTCCTCTCCTCTCCTCTCACCTTCCTCCTCTCCTCTCACCTTCCTCCTCTCCTCTCCTCTCACCTTCCTCCTCTCCTCTCCTCTCCCCTTCCTCCTCTCCTCTCACCTTCCTCGTCTCCTCTCACCTTTGTTGTCAGCAGCGATGAACCCCAGGATGTTCTCGTGCCGCAGCATAACGGTCTGGTAGATCTCTGCCTCTCTGAACCAGGACCTCTCTTCTCTGGAGGAGAAGATCTTCACAGCCACCTCCTCTCCTCTCCACTTCCCCCGCCACACCTCCCCAAACCTCCCCTTCCCGATGCTCTCCTGCAGGATGATGGTGCGGGCGATCGTCCTCTGCACCAGCAGGGGCAGACCTGCACACACACAGATACAGGTTAGAGTCACCTGAAACACTTCATCACAGATGTTCATCAACGCAGAGATCTATAACACGGTCAGGAACCAGAGAGTCTTTACACTAATGAAGGTATAAGGGAAGAACTGCACAGAAACATATTAGAAGCTGACGGTAAGGATTTAAGAGTCACCAGAAATACTTTTAATAAATGATCAGTCAAAAGCCAGCTGGTGCAGCGTGAAGAACGAGGAGATTTCAATATATTTCTACCCTATAAGTCACAGGCTGTCTGTTTGCATATTGATCACTTCCTGCAGGAACTAGAGCGTTCAGACGGAGAGAGGTGAGGTCAGGAACTAGAGCGTTCAGACGGAGAGAGGTGAGGTCAGGAACTAGAGCGTTCAGACGGAGAGAGGTGAGGTCAGGAGAGAGAGGTGAGGTCAGGAACTAGAGCGTTCAGACGGAGAGAGGTGAGGTCAGGAACTAGAGAGTTCAGACGGAGAGAGGTGAGGTCAGGAGCTAGAGCGTTCAGACGGAGAGAGGTGAGGTCAGGAGCTAGAGCGTTCAGACGGAGAGAGGTGAGGTCAGGAGCTAGAGCGTTCAGACGGAGAGAGGTGAGGTCAGGAACTAGAGCGTTCAGACGGAGAGAGGTGAGGTCAGGAACTAGAGAGTTCAGACGGAGAGAGGTGAGGTCAGGAGCTAGAGCGTTCAGACGGAGAGAGGTGAGGTCAGGAGCTAGAGCGTTCAGACGGAGAGAGGTGAGGTCAGGAACTAGAGCGTTCAGACGGAGAGAGGTGAGGTCAGGAACTAGAGCGTTCAGACGGAGAGAGGTGAGGTCAGGAGCTAGAGCGTTCAGACGGAGAGAGGTGAGGTCAGGAGCTAGAGCGTTCAGACGGAGAGAGGTGAGGTCAGGAGCTAGAGCGTTCAGACGGAGAGAGGTGAGGTCAGGAACTAGAGCGTTCAGACGGAGAGAGGTGAGGTCAGGAACTAGAGCGTTCAGACGGAGAGAGGTGAGGTCAGGAACTAGAGCGTTCAGACGGAGAGAGGTGAGGTCAGGAACTAGAGCGTTCAGACGGAGAGAGGTGAGGTCAGGAACTAGAGCGTTCAGACGGAGAGAGGTGAGGTCAGGAGCTAGAGCGTTCAGACGGAGAGATGTGAGGTCAGGAGCTAGAGAGTTCAGACGGAGAGAGGTGAGGTCAGGAACTAGAGCGTTCAGACGGAGAGAGGTGAGGTCAGGAACTAGAGCGTTCAGACGGAGAGAGGTGAGGTCAGGAACTAGAGCGTTCAGACGGAGAGAGGTGAGGTCAGGAGCTAGAGCGTTCAGACGGAGAGAGGTGAGGTCAGGAGAGAGAGGTGAGGTCAGGAGCTAGAGCGTTCAGACGGAGAGAGGTGAGGTCAGGAGCTAGAGCGTTCAGACGGAGAGAGGTGAGGTCAGGAGCTAGAGCGTTCAGACGGAGAGAGGTGAGGTCAGGAGCTAGAGCGTTCAGACGGAGAGAGGTGAGGTCAGGAACTAGAGCGTTCAGACGGAGAGAGGTGAGGTCAGGAACTAGAGCGTTCAGACGGAGAGAGGTGAGGTCAGGAGAGAGAGCGTTCAGACGGAGAGAGGTGAGGTCAGGAACTAGAGCGTTCAGACGGAGAGAGGTGAGGTCAGGAACTAGAGCGTTCAGACGGAGAGAGGTGAGGTCATAAAGTCATAAAGTCACTCTGCATATGATTCAGTGGAGAGAAATGTCTTCTGCTCTGAGAGGAATGCACATTGAGAGCAAATCATTTATAGTCCAAGACCTTTAAAAGATAAATGCTGAACACTCGCCGGTGGATCGTTTATATTTAATCGTGTAAATGCGTTCAGGTTACTTTCCAGAAATCAATAGCGCTGCTACAAGAGCAACTGTCACATAGAAACAGCTGATGAGGAAACACACACACACACACACACACACACACACACACACACACACACACACACACACACACACACACACACACACACACACACACACCACACACACACACACACACACACACACACCACACACACACACACACACACACACACACACACACACACACACACACACACACACACACACACACACACACACACACACACACACACTCTCTCTGCTGGAGAGAGTCGAGGTGCCAGTCTCTCAGAGAGGAGCTCATTCATGACTGCATGAAGAGCGGAGGCTGCCAGCAGTGTGTGTGTGTGTGTGTGTGTGTGTGTGTGTGTGTGTGTGTGTGTGTGTGTGTGTGTGTGTGTGTGTGTGTGTGTGTGTGTGTGTGTGTGTGTGTGTGATGACTCTAATTTAAGCTGTGTGCAGGTACATAATAAGTTAAGGCTTCCTGTTCTCTCAGTGTTTCTGTTCCACTTCATTTCACCCAGTTTCTCTTTCCGTTTTAAATGTATTTTATCTGCACGAGACGAGGTGACCTTTACAGCGAAACACATCGCCTAGTCCTTCTTCTTCTTCTTTATTTGTTTCAACATACCTCCACAGAGAATATGGGTTTAAAAAATGTAGAAAAGTGCATGAACTGAACTTAATGTAAATACAATCTGAAACCTTCATCTAGAATCTGTTTATATATGTATTATGAACAGATGTTCTCAGAGGGCTTCAGACCCTCAGAGTAACCCCAAAGAAACACACAGTAACAGGAGGAAGGTCTTCCAGGTAATACATCATCTCATTATCCACCAACACTCAGACCTTAATATTTCAGGCTCTTCATCATCATGAGGACTCTCTGAAGTGCCGGCGCTCTCTATAGGCGCGTTCACACCGCAGTGCTTTTCCCGTTTAGTTCCGATATAGTTCTGAAATGTTTCGTTCACACCAAAAAGAGCCGGAAACTAAAATGAGTTCATGAACCTTTGTACCCCCTTTCCGTCCCGGCTAGAGAGCAGGCACTTTCCTGGGAGAAAAAGGTTCCTATGTCTGATTGGCTGGGCGGATTGTAAACCACGCCCCGTAAAACTCCCAAAAAGTTTTGTGAAGCCGCCATTGCATTAGCATTATTAGCATTAGCATTAGCCCAGCGCAGAAACGCAGAGAGACTAACTTATGGCAACACAAAATAAAACATGGGAGCGGTGGAGATGAGGAGGTGTCGGCGTTCTGGAGATTTACTCTGAAGGCTTCAGTAGAAGCTGCTGGGAGTCCCAGCAGCTTCTACTGAAGCCTTCCCCAACTCCGGGGACTCCGGGTGGCAGTATACGCCGTGAAGTGGTTTGCAGCCTGCCAGTAAACCCAAAGCAGAAGAAGAAGAAGTGACGTCAGCGGCTTCATTTGCCTAATCTTCCCTCAGGAACTTATTCCGGTGTGAACGCGATCTGTACTGAGTGCCCTGGAGGTACTGAGTGCCCCGGGGGTACTGAGTGCCCCTGAGTGCCCCGGGGGTACTGAGTGCCCCGGGGGTACTGAGTGCCCCTGAGTGCCCCGGGGGTACTGAGTGCCCCGGGGGTACTGAGTGCCCCGGGGGTACTGAGTGCCCCGGGGGTACTGAGTGCCCCGGGGGTACTGAGTGCCCCTGAGTGCCCCGGGGGTACTGAGTGCCCCGGGGGTACTGAGTGCCCCGGGGGTACTGAGCGCCCTGGGGGTACTAAGTGCTGGCACTATGTACGGCAAAGTACTTGGTGTGAAAGCGGCACTTGACTGTTTTTAATATTCCTTCAAAGAGAAGGCAAGTGGACTTTAAGAAGAATTCAAGGAGAAAGATGGTTTCTAGCAGCCCCTCTAGCAGCCCCTCTAGCAGCCCCTCTAGCAGCCCCTCTAGCAGCCCCTCTAGCAGCCCCTCTCTCTCAGGTGCAGAGGTGTGTCTGCTGCACGTCGCTCTAAACTTCGTTCAGAATATCTTCTGTCTTGTTGTGTCACACATTAAGAATGCTACTGCTGTTAGCATTGTCGCTAGCAGACAGACGGTCCATGCGGTGTGACTCTTAGCTTTGCACGTGTAGAATGTTGTTTATATGTCAATATAAGGCTCATTACAGAATATCTATATTACCGTTTACATGGAGCACAACATACTGATGCTAACAAAACAATAACACACACACACACCTGATCCAGACCCTGAGGTGGTCATGTCGTAGATGAGGTCTCTGAGCGTTGTTCCCACGGTGATGAAGGGGTGGTCCATGTGGGGGTCTTCCTCGTTGGACACACGGTGATGATGACGGTGCGCCGCCCCCGCTGCTCGGTGGCTGTGACAGACGTAGAAGGCGAGGACCAATAGGAGGCAGAGGACACACACAGGGCCAGCTATCACTGCAGCGAGGGCCACAGGGCCGAGGGGGGGGGTCCGCACCGTGGGGACTGGGGGGGGGGGGGGGGGGGGGGGAGAGAGAGAGAGGATATTAACTTACCCGTGTCTCTTTAACCCTGTTTGAACGTGTGTGTGTGTACATGTGTGTGTGTGTGTGTGTGTGAATGTGTGTACGTGTGTGTGTGTGTGTGTGTGTGTGTACCTGGGATGATGTTGAGGTCTGGCTCCTTGTTGCTGTGTGTGTGTGTGTGTGTGTGTGTGTGTGTGTGTGTGTACCTGGGATGATGTTGAGGTCTGGCTCCTTGTTGCTGTGTGTGTGTGTGTGTGTGTGTGTGTGTGTGTGTGTGTGTGTGTGTGTGTGTGTGTGTGTGTGTACCTGGGATGATGTTGAGGTCTGGCTCCTTGTTGCAGTTGTCCGTGGTGCAGCACACAGGATAGATCCCCGTCTCCTGCTTCACGGACGGAGCACAGATGAAGGGTCTGTCTCTGGGGATCAGCTCGCTCTCGTGAACACACTGACGCTGTTCTCTCGTCAGGCGACTGCCAATCTTACGGATCGCCACGAAACACACTCCGTCCGTCGTGCAGCTGGAGTTAGCCGAGCAGCGGTCGCAGTAGCATTGGAGCGCTGGAGAGAGGAGAGAGGACAACAGTCAGACCGGAGAAACACCTGACATGTAGATGGGAACAGGTGTGATACAGAGCGGAGAAACACCTGACATGTAGATGGGAACAGGTGTGATACAGAGCAGAGAAACACCTGACATGTAGATGGGAACAGGTGTGATACAGAGCAGAGAAACACCTGACATGTAGATGGGAACAGGTGTGATACAGAGCAGAGAAACACCTGACATGTAGATGGGAACAGGTGTGATACAGAGCAGAGAAACACCTGACATGTAGATGGGAACAGGTGTGATAGAGAGCAGAGAAACACCTGACATGTAGATGGGAACAGGTGTGATACAGAGCGGAGAAACACCTGACATGTAGATGGGATCAGGAGTGATACAGAGCTGAGAAACACCTGACATGTAGATGGGAACAGGTGTGATACAGAGAGGAGAAACACCTGACATGTAGATGGGAACAGGTGTGATACAGAGCAGAGAAACACCTGACATGTAGATGGGATCAGGTGTGATACAGAGCTGAGAAACACCTGACATGTAGATGGGAACAGGTGTGATACAGAGAGGAGAAACACCTGACATGTAGATGGGAACAGGTGTGATACAGAGCAGAGAAACACCTGACATGTAGATGGGAACAGGTGTGATACAGAGAGGAGAAACACCTGACATGTAGATGGGAACAGGTGTGATACAGAGCAGAGAAACACCTGACATGTAGATGGGAACAGGTGTGATACAGAGCAGAGAAACACCTGACATGTAGATGGGAACAGGTGTGATACAGAGAGGAGAAACACCTGACATGTAGATGGGAACAGGTGTGATACAGAGCAGAGAAACACCTGACATGTAGATGGGAACAGGTGTGATACAGAGAGGAGAAACACCTGACATGTAGATGGGAACAGGTGTGATAGAGAGCAGAGAAACACCTGACATGTAGATGGGAACAGGTGTGATACAGAGCTGAGAAACACCTGACATGTAGATGGGAACAGGTGTGATACAGAGAGGAGAAACACCTGACATGTAGATGGGAACAGGTGTGATACAGAGCAGAGAAACACCTGACATGTAGATGGGAACAGGTGTGATACAGAGAGGAGAAACACCTGACATGTAGATGGGAACAGGTGTGATAGAGAGCAGAGAAACACCTGACATGTAGATGGGAACAGGTGTGATACAGAGCAGAGAAACACCTGACATGTAGATGGGAACAGGTGTGATACAGAGCTGAGAAACACCTGACATGTAGATGGGAACAGGTGTGATACAGAGAGGAGAAACACCTGACATGTAGATGGGAACAGGTGTGATACAGAGCAGAGAAACACCTGACATGTAGATGGGAACAGGTGTGATACAGAGCAGAGAAACACCTGACATGTAGATGGGAACAGGTGTGATACAGAGCAGAGAAACACCTGACATGTAGATGGGAACAGGTGTGATACAGAGAGGAGAAACACCTGACATGTAGATGGGAACAGGTGTGATACAGAGAGGAGAAACACCTGACATGTAGATGGGAACAGGTGTGATACAGAGCGGAGAAACACCTGACATGTAGATGGGAACAGGTGTGATACAGAGCTGAGAAACACCTGACATGTAGATGGGAACAGGTGTGATACAGAGAGGAGAAAACACCTGACATGTAGATGGGAACAGGTGTGATACAGAGAGGAGAAACACCTGACATGTAGATGGGAACAGGTGTGATACAGAGCAGAGAAACACCTGACATGTAGATGGGAACAGGTGTGATACAGAGAGGAGAAACACCTGACATGTAGATGGGAACAGGTGTGATACAGAGCAGAGAAACACCTGACATGTAGATGGGAACAGGTGTGATACAGAGCGGAGAAACACCTGACATGTAGATGGGAACAGGTGTGATACAGAGAGGAGAAACACCTGACATGTAGATGGGAACAGGTGTGATACAGAGCAGAGAAACACCTGACATGTAGATGGGAACAGGTGTGATACAGAGAGGAGAAACACCTGACATGTAGATGGGAACAGGTGTGATACAGAGCAGAGAAACACCTGACATGTAGATGGGAACAGGTGTGATACAGAGCGGAGAAACACCTGACATGTAGATGGGAACAGGTGTGATAGAGAGCAGAGAAACACCTGACATGTAGATGGGAACAGGTGTGATACAGAGAGGAGAAACACCTGACATGTAGATGGGAACAGGTGTGATACAGAGCTGAGAAACACCTGACATGTAGATGGGAACAGGTGTGATACAGAGCTGAGAAACACCTGACATGTAGATGGGAACAGGTGTGATACAGAGAGGAGAAACACCTGACATGTAGATGGGAACAGGTGTGATACAGAGAGGAGAAACACCTGACATGTAGATGGGAACAGGTGTGATACAGAGCGGAGAAACACCTGACATGTAGATGGGAACAGGTGTGATACAGAGAGGAGAAACACCTGACATGTAGATGGGAACAGGTGTGATACAGAGAGGAGAAACACCTGACATGTAGATGGGAACAGGTGTGATACAGAGAGGAGAAACACCTGACATGTAGATGGGAACAGGTGTGATACAGAGCAGAGAAACACCTGACATGTAGATGGGAACAGGTGTGATACAGAGCAGAGAAACACCTGACATGTAGATGGGAACAGGTGTGATACAGAGAGGAGAAACACCTGACATGTAGATGGGAACAGGTGTGATACAGAGCAGAGAAACACCTGACATGTAGATGGCAACAGGTGTGATACAGAGAGGAGAAACACCTGACATGTAGATGGGAACAGGTGTGATACAGAGCAGAGAAACACCTGACATGTAGATGGGAACAGGTGTGATACAGAGCAGAGAAACACCTGACATGTAGATGGGAACAGGTGTGATACAGAGAGGAGAAACACCTGACATGTAGATGGGAACAGGTGAGATACAGAGCTAAAGGGACGTGGTGTCCCTGAAGGCAGCATCAAGTTAAAAAATGAATGATAACATTAAAATAAACCGTCCGTCTGAAACCAGAGCAATCTGTTGTGATTGGTCAACCGCTTAGAGATGTCCCGCCCCTTAGCCTATCATGTACAGTGTTCCTTCCAGAAGTGAAACAGGACTAGAGTTTATTACCAAATTAAGAGATGATGGTAATTTATGCATACATTATATAAGAGCTAAATACTTATACACATTATACCTGTTCCTAACAACAACTACATATAAACTACTACATATAAACAACTACATATAAACTACTACATATAAAAACATGTCAGAAAAACTCTAACTAAAAGTATAAAACTCTCAAACTAAATAAAATACCAACTGTTTCACCTCTGGTTAAACCCATCTGCACTCAGAGACCTGAAGCAGCAACACACACCTCTGAATAATCCACACACACACCTCTGAATAATTAACACACACACACAGATGGGTTCAACAGAGTGAAAGCTATACTGCTGGAAATCTGCTCTTAGTGCAACACGGTGAAAGATTTAAACAATGTGCATTATTCAGGAGAGCACACACACACACACACACACACACACACACACACACACACACACACACACACACACACACACACACACACACACACACACACACACACACACACACACACACACACACACACACACACACACACACCACACACACACACACACACACACACACACACACACACACACACACATCACACACACACACACACACACACACACACACACACACACACACACACACACACACACACACACACACACACACACACACACACACACACACTCCTGGGAATGTCTGGAGGTGAAATCCAGACACAAACAACACAACAGTGTGTGTGTGTGTGTGTGTGTGTGTGTGTGTGTGTGTGTGTGTGTTCAGGGGAATAAGCAGACAGATGAAGCTCAGACGGTTAAATAAAAGCCAGCTGACTTTCCTCTGACTCAGATACGTCAGACACACACACACACACACACACAGATATGTGTCTAGACTAGAAAACAACAGAAACATTTCATCTCTTTATTAAAGGAAACACAGCAGCTGATCTCTGGATCCAGACGATGCTTTGATTCAAACACGCTGCACAATAAAGAGATGAGTTATAAAGATACTTCAAAGAGAGACACTTTCAAATGTCTCTGAATCTCTTTGGTTTATTGGCACCTTTTGTGTGTTTGATAAAAACTGTTTGTTGACTTTTAGAATCAGAAGAAGTCCCTTTAATATCTGTTTGTGTACTTTAAGTAATATAGTTACTGTGTATGGAGTATTTTACATATATTATCCTTTATTAGTATGGACTAAAACCAGTGGAGAAAACACACACCCACCCATTTTGTTAAATGTAATGTAACATTTAACAAAACTCATGTTCCTGTTATGAGTGTATTAAGATATCTCCTGCCTCAGTGCGTCTTTAAAGACTCTTTTAGAAACCCTACTTTAGAATCATTAACGAGGGCAGCGTCTAATTAAAGCTGCAACACATCTCTCACTTGTTGAAGGGTGTGTGTGTGTGTGTGTGTGTGTGTGTGTGTGTGTGTGTGTGTGAGGAGGAACACACTGTAGTTACACCGCTTGTTTTCACCGTTAACACGAAACGCATTTCAGCTAGAAAACATTATTTTAATGGATGAATATTCCTACTTATTTACTTGATTAACCTAATTATTATTATTGGTCATCAAATGAGTTTAAGATGAGATGAACAGCTGGAAGATTGGCTGCATGGCTTAGTAAAGTAAAAGGGTCATTAGTAGTTATTTAAATGGTTGAAGATGTTTGTTTTTTAAGGATTTGAAGGCGTTCTCTTTCACGTGTAGCTGCAGTAGTTGAGTCCATGCAACATGCAACACACTTATCATTAACCTGTTCCACTCTGAGCCTGTTTTTCAGGTCTCAGGCTCGAAAATGACATTCCCAGAACAAATGACCATATCTTCCCTTCTAAAAGGGTTAAATTAATAATCTTTGTTCTCAAAGTAATGAT